CGGCTCCCCTCCCCATTCCCGGGGGTCCTGCTCTCCCATTTCCCCTCAGGACCCCCCCCCCATTCCCGGGGGTCCTGCTCCCCCATTTCCCCTCAGCATCCCCCCATTCCCAAGGGTCCTGCTTCCCCATTTCCCCTCAGGATCCCCCCCCCATTCCTGGGGGTCCTGCTCCCCCATTTCCCCCCGGGATCCCCTCCCCCTTCCCGGGGGTCCTGCTCCCCCCTTTCCCCTGAGGATCCCCCCCCATTCCCGGGGGTCCTTCTCCCCTATTTCCCCTCAGCATCCCCCTCCCCATCTCTGATTTTTGGGGGCTCCATCCCCAAATTCCACCATTTTCCCTGCCCCAATCCCCTTTTTTTTTCACCCCATTTTCCAGACGGCCTCGACAACCACAGCCACGAGCCCCAGGGTGGCTACCAGGACCCCCAGGGTGGCTACCAGGGCCACCAGGACTATCAGGAGTACCAGGGCCAGGGCCACCACCAGGAGTCCCAGGGCTACCAAGGCCAAGAGTCCCAGGGCTACCCGGGCCACCAGCACGAGTCCCAAGGCTACCAGGGCCACCAACATGAGTCCCAGGGCTACCAAGGCCACCATGGCCACCAGCAGGACCCCCAGGGCTACCAGGGCCCCCAGCAGGACCCCCAGGGCTACCAGGGCCACCAGCAGGACCCCCAGGGCTACCAGGGCCACCAGCAGGACCCCCAGGGCTACCAGGGCCACCACGGCCACCAGCAGGAGCCCCATGGCTACCAGGGCCACCAGCAGGACCCCCATGGCTACCAGCCCTACGAGGGTCACGAGGCCGAGCCGGGCTACGAGAGGAGAGCCCTGGACCAGGAGCCCCCCAGGCTGCCCCCAGGTGGGCTTTGGGGGGGTCTGGGAGGGCAGTTTGGGGGTCTCTGGGGGTCTGTGGGATGGGGGGAGTTGGGCAGGAACCCTCTTGTGGAGTTTGGGGGTCTCTGGGGGGCATTTTGGGGGTCTCTGGTGGGGGGGAATGGGGGGATTAGGGCAGGATCCCCTGTCCT